TCGTTGCCTAATATATCATCTGCTCCAGATACCTCTTCAGCCATGATAACATCAGATTTGATTTTTGGAGACAAAGACTTGAGAAATTCGATAATGCTAATCATATAAACATCCTGCGATCTTTCAAGAATTCGGCGCGTCGTCTTGGAGATTACACTGGTTGAAACGTTAAACAACTCATCGCGAAGACACGTGATAGCGTCTTGGTTATCGCTGGCATCAGCGATTTGATAAAGTCGCCGTTCGTTAATAGTGATAGATGTGATCCACCATTTAAAATACGTCATAGAATGGCTCAATATGCTTTGTGTACCATATTCGACCAACTTCAAAACGATATTTCGACATGCGAGTGCTGTTTTTGCACATTCCAATCCTCCATCTTCAATCATTCTTTCAACCACTATTGCAGTAAGCATAAGTCCATCTCTTTGACTTCTGGTAAAGTAACTTAATGGAAATAACTGTAATAAATCGATAATAGTTCTTAATCGAACGCTAATTATCAATCTTCCGTCCGCCTCCTGATTGAATCGCGGATCTTCCGAGTCATCGGAATCAAGTTCGGTATTGGTGTCTGTCATCTTAGCGCAATGAACCGGAGTTATGCTGGCAGTCTCTGAAAATAAGTGTTCAGCGTCACTAAATATGGATCGACGATCCTTTGACGTAGAGATCAAGGACAGTATGAGTTCCAAGTCAGAAAATAGTCTCGATGGCGATTTCGTGATCCGTGGTACAACAAATAGCATCTCCTTAAGACATACATCGAAAAAGACTTTCTTAATCGTAGGCAGTTCATAGAACTCAGCTGATCCAAAAATTTCCAAACATAATGTCTTCAGAGTATATTCAAGAGTATTGTTATTATTATAGTAACTATCCATATAACATCTAACTATGAATCGGGTTATGCGCTCAGCACTTTCCTTTGAGCCGTTATCACAAACAATGTCCAACCAATCAACAAAAAAGACCTTGGCAACGGCGAGTGTGTAGTTATCCGCGTTAATATCACATATCTTTCCACTCCAAGTAATTTTAGGATCAGGCATCTGGATTGTTTCCAGTACATCCGCGATTAACGTTGATTTCACATAATTGATTTGGACATTTGCATCCGCTTGGGCAAAGTTGTGTGAGTGTGCATTAATTACCACTTTGATATGATGCATAAAGATTTGATAGGTTAAAACCTTGGCTCTAGGATCGTTTAATGTCCAACTCTTTATCCGAAAAGTGGCATGGGCAAAACTGACCCAATATGTTCCACATATTTCCGCAAGAGCCAAATGAATGGAAAGAGCAGCATAAATAAAGTGAGCCATATGTGAATGTTCAACATCAGCAAGCCCAATTATGGGGGAGACATAATTTTTAAAAAAATTTCTATATATAGTGTCGAATTTTGCTTCGTGAAATGAATCCAACTTAATGGAGCGTAAAAATGGAATGAATATTGGTATCAGTAATTCGAGTTGAGCGGAGCTTCCACGGTCTGATTTATTATTTCCCGAGTTCCTCCATCCTTCTAACGGGAGTCCTAAATTGTTCGCTTCCAAATTTTCCGAGTAAACTCGCTGAAATCGTTGGTCCATGACTGATAACAGTTCAAGCACCTCATCTTCGCGTTGAGTTGACACACATACTGCAAACTCGCCCAGATATTCATTGCTATAAATCACACTCTTTAATACTGTCATCCAATTATTTGTGACTTCCACGGTACCAATTGCTTCGAGCAAGCTCACCAAATACAAGTTCAACGTGTGACTCTTGGAATAAACAGTGAGAAGCAACCGTACAAATGTAGAGGCTTCCGCACGAACATCTTGTGCAGACATCAAGATGATCGGCCATATCTGCGTCAAGTGTGTTTCTACACTCTTGGTGTTAATCTTTAGGACGAGCGCTAAGAATTCTAAAAGTTCTCGCTGAAGATGACGGATCTTGTTTAATCTCTCTGTGCTCACTCCCACTAGTCTGGAAAGATTTTCGAGGAAACACTTGACTTCATGTATGGCATCGTCTCCGGGTCTGTACAAATCGTTCTCCAAAATCCGCAAAAGCTTGTTGATGGTTTCAAAAACCCGTCGCTTTGCTTGTATGATATCGTTGAGCTCACTATTGTCTTTCAACATAGCATTGAATGCGTTGCTCACTTTAGCCCATAATTTCAAGACAAAACTGCGCGCCGCATTACGGTCTGCTGGCTGGCGTAAGAGACTACGGGTAAGTAGATCAGGAAGACTGCTAAGGCCTATTATGCATAGAATAGATAAGAAATACGTGAGCAGCTGACATTACAGTTAAAGATAAAGGACAAGCAATAATGTCCGTGTGGAAAACGATGAATAATATAAGAAAACACAATAAACAAAAATCACAGAAGAAGTGAGTTTAAAAAAAAAGCCTTGCTTTCCGGTTTAGCACCAGTCCCATGGATTAAAGATGTCGCCCTTAAGCCAAAGATGACTTCATTACTTGTCCAAAGCCAGGACAATATAAAGACGGATCATTAACTGTTTAATATACCATTCCTATATAAAGATAATTTGTCAATACATAGACAGGACTAACTTACATGCAATGGCTTCTTTGTCAAAAATAGTAGCCGAGTCGGCTATATTTGATATGACGTCGAGCAGGCTAGTAGTGAGAGGATTGGCTTTGGACACCTTTCCGGGAGCATCTTGATCGGTATTTGGCAGTTGTTCTTTGATAAAATCCTGTATAAAAATAGCAATTCCGACAATATTTTCAAATCGCATAATTGTTGCCTCGATCATTTCTGCGTTTTTCGATTGACTTCGTAGTACATGCAGCGAATAATTGGCTATGAGCATCGGTTTTAGAAGTTTTATAACAACCGTGTCATACACCTGTCAATAAGAAAGTAGTGAGTCACTGTAATTTATAAGTACGTATTATGGGTTATAATAGTATTCACGTCAATTACCTTTCGCGCGTTTGTCGCTGCGATGATCGCTTTCTCGTAAAAATCTGCTGCGGTGAACAACCATTCAATTAATATCTTTTCCATATGTTCGTCTGTTTCAGTCATGATATCTTCTCTTTTATACAAAGTGCAAACATTTAGGAACAGAGCCGTCAGATGCTCAAATGAAGGTCTGAATAGTCTATGTTGAGACTCGGCAAGTAATCGGAAGCATTCAGTTGCGACTGTCACAGTGCCAGTGACCTGATGAGTAATTTGTTGTTCAGTGGCAACGTATTCTGCTAATGATATGAGTGGGATTGTGAGAGGCGATTTAGAAATAACGACCCTCATATGCTCTGTCGGACGTTTATGAATTGTACTGTCATTGATGCAAGAGAGAATGCTATGAAGAAAACGCCAATAATCTTGATTGAGATAGACAGGTTGATTGACACTAATATAGGCAAAATATACATTAATATATATTGATATTGGTGGGCAGTCAGAGTAAAACTTCGGACGTAATAATAATACTAAATTACAATACAGAGTTGAGGACGAAAATTGATCGAATGAAATGATAAATTCGACAATACCCGTGCCCAGTAAAATTATTATAATGGTCACATTAAATACTCACTCCTCACATTACGTACGGTTCCCTAACGATAGTTTTGTCATATTTATCGTTGAATTACTTGCCTCTTTGATTCTTTCTTTCCGCATGATTTGATTAGGGATGAACTCACCCATTCCGCCAGATATTCTCCCTTATTGGGAAATATAATATCAGGCGAATTCCATGTATTAAGCGCTATCGCTAGTTTGCTCTCATGAGAAAGCTTTGAAGATTTGAGTGATTGAACAACGTTCTCTGAGGTCGTGGTAATGGTAATGCTATGAATCATAATGAACAGATGAGAAATTGGAACTACCCCAGGATCACCATCAAAAAATTTACGGACACATGACTGCAGTGGGTGAATTTATGGAAGCAAATTTTAATTTTTGTTAAACTCAAATCTTACATATATAAATAATCACGTGTCCGTAAATTTTTGATGGCGATGCTGGGAAAAATGAGAAATTGGATTGTGAACATGTGATTATCAGAATTTCTATGCGATTTCCCAAACCCCAGATTAACTAAAGATTTACATTCTAAGTGCTGCTGCAGCTTATTCAAGTTCCTGCCAAATTTGACAAACTTTGATGCGCTTGGTCACCGAAACAGATACAGGGTGTTATATAATGGAGATAAAAATGAGGTTGATACCCAGTCGGCGAACTGAGCTTGCTTTTTCTTTTGGCGATATGGAATCAATTCGTAATAGCTACACCATATCTTCCTGGCCAGAGTAATTTTTTGCTATGAACTTTAGATAGTCGCCTGAAAAGGTGGGATATTCTCAAGTACGGCATTGCGACATCGGCTATGTATATTTCCTTATTGCTGTATTGCTGGAATACATCGATCCCAACTTAAACTGTGATTAGCAATCTGAAAACCTTCAAAGCTTCAATAGGCAATTTAATTACAATATGACGCTTTGTTACAGTTACAGGTATTTCTAATTGCAGCCAAATCTATTTTAGAGCTTACATGCACTTGCTCGTTCATGTAATCAATACGTTCACACTTGCGACATTGACAAAGCAAATTTCCATTTTTTTAACGTCCACGATAATTATAGCTTGGTTTGGTTGCAGACTGCTACATCATAATTATTCCACTTCTTAAAAACCGATACTAATGAGACTATGCATTTCATTCATAATGTAGTATTAGTATTATTAGGGTATTGAAATTCATATTGCTATGGTATAATATTCGTTATTCGTCAGTTGGAACACGTGAAATCACGATTTGTGCGCTGTCGCCGATACAGCTCGATTAGTCCGGACTTGGTAAACTGGTTCTCGTCGACGTTCAGCTCATAAAGTACTTCGTTAAACTTGAAAGAATGACAATGATGACTGTTGAATTCCTTTTAAAAGAAAGATGGTAATTTTTATATTTATTAAGATAATAAACAAGTCTTTCTTACGCACCGAAAACGTCCGTGCCCAATGACCGCTCGAATTCATGAACAATGCAATTATCTTTAACGTGAGAAACTAGTCTGTGTTGGAGGTGATGGTTCTGAGAAGCAATTCGGCTATTGTTTAATTAAAACATTCTTGCCTGCAATACGTCCCGGTTTGATTAAATTGATACAGGCAATCACCCAATATTTGATAAATCTGGCCACGCTTTTACAGTTTTCCTAATAGAGTCACGAGTTTCTTCGTCATCTGAATAGTACTGCGCCGATTTAACATTCGATGTTGTGACCACATTCAATCAAGGATTGGAAGTTCACCATCCGAGCCGCACATCGTCATCAACAAAAAAAAATATGGGTGAGAATAAGAAAGACAAAAAAAACCAAACTAAAAAGCGACCTTCTACTTCCGAAGGTAATGGATCCAACACTTTGTCACACTCCTTTATTTAACTGAGAAGGTCTTTTGTTTTCCTTCATCATACGTAACCAACCTCTCGCTTACGGTCATATTCATCGTCATAACCAGTATTAAAAAAAATCCTATTATTTATCCTCGAATTAGTAGAACAAAAATCTCCACATAGGATAAAGATATCTCTCAAATTAAAGAAAAGGGACGATACTGATAACCAGAAGAACGTCAGAATACCTGCAACGAAACATTACAAGGAGACATCTACCGCGACAAAGGATCATAGGCAAACTAAGCGTCGAAGGACAGAGAACTATGGAGCCCAGCTACCAGACATGCACAAGCCGCCCAAGCTGAAAATAAGGCTAAAGCCTTCGACTACGATGGCAACAGCATCAACAACAACATCAAGAACGACAATAACTACAGCAAAGCCAGCAAAAACAAGAATAACAACAGTGACGCCGCCGACGCAGGTACGTCCTCCAGCAACACCGCCTCCACCGACGCCACCACCTCCACCACCTTCAATCACCAAGACGCCCACAAATGTAATAAAGGCACTAACAACAAAGATTGATATGAAGGGATCTAACACTATTAAGCCGGATACTTCCTCCTCCAGTAAATATAAAAGTAATGACAAGACTAGAAAAGATGCCCCTACAGGTAATTGTTAGGATATCACCATGAAATGATGATTTGGGGTTACTTTCTCCATTATTAATTGATTACAGTCAATAAAGTCAATAGACGTCCAGGAAAAACGAACATCGAACAAGCAATTCGAAAGGAACGTGTTTCCAATAAAGCGCAAGAAATTCGCAAAGAACGCGTTTCTAATAAATTGCGTACTAATCACAAGAAGCGTAAGGATCTTGTGAGTGTTATGAATAAATTATTGGATGCATTTGTCAAGTGAGTGGTGAATTGTTTCGATGTTTTTTTTAAACAAGTCATATATTTTCATTGATGTATTTATGTGTTGTCATATGATTTTTGTAGTGTATACCTATTTAACAATCTATTGTCATTGCAATCTAATTAATAGGAAAGATGCATACGGTTTCTTCCTTGAACCAGTCGATACGGAAATGGTCACCGACTACTTGACGATCATAAAACAACCGATGGACTTTGGTACAATGAGGCGAAAAGTAGCAAAAAATGAATATCAAACAATGGATCACTTCAAGGTCAACCACTCGTTAGTATGCTAAACACTCTTGTATTCCGTCATTTAATAACATAACCATGCTTCAATCGACAATAGGCTGAATTCGCTTTGGTCTGTAACAACGCCAAAACTTATAATGCTCCAGAGACAATTTACTATAAATGTGCAGATAAGATATGGCAATATGGTGAAAAGGCTATTGAAAGAGAAAAGAATGCGTTAATATTGGAGGAAGAGAGGGCAAAAGCTAAACAAATGGAAGAGGATATTGACATTGAATCAGTGGCTGAAGGTGGTATAAAAGGCAATAAGGTTTGTACATTAATTTATTTTTATGAATGAAGCAGTGGTTTTGACAATAAGTACTGAATATTACAAATCATTCTATAGTCAGTCAGCGAAGCAGGTATCTTGCCATTTGGTGTGTCAATTGGATGGTGAGTTTCTATTAACGTTTGAAACCTTACTAAATCCTAATGCATTTTTAGGCTCCTCTACAACAAAAGGCACCAAGCAATCAAAGAAATCGAAGCGCAATGACAGTGGACGTGGCCATATGTATTGTTCGGATGGTTCATTTGATATATGTATGTATTCTTTATGCACAACGTAGTGAACTAATTCCTACCAATAATGTTACCATGTAAAACTGCTACAATATAACTTATGTACAGCATTATATGAATACTGAATAGATAAATTAAAGCGGAATATGCATTCGAAGTAGTCTCTAAGTAATGCACCATCATTATTGTTATTCATAACCCATAATTAATACGTCTATTACTTTTTTTGTCATTTTTCGTCTTAGCCTTTTATCTGAAGAGGATGGAGAAACCAGAATCATTTGGACGGACACCTTTGCTTACGGTCATATCGTCCTCTAGGTTGATAGGCGAACTCATTGAGCGCGAAGGTAAAAGCAGCCTCAGTAGTTTCAGTATTATCGTTCTTTTTTCAGTTGACTCTGGATGTAACAATGAAATGATGTTAAGTACATGTACATATGACGGCTGTTTGAAATATCGTTTTATGGCTGTCATACCAATATATTCAATGATCATCTGGATTGGAAGTACATATATGTTCGTTGAAACACCACTTTCTGACAATGCTATTCTTTCTATATCAGCGACTTTCCTAGACTATGGTCCATATGCTACACTCGGGATAGACCCTCCTCAAATCTCGACACAGGGCATGTCGCACATGTACAACCTATACGGCGATGAAAGAGGTTATGCATACGCAAGGAGTTTACGCACCTTTGTCCAAGGTATCGGACCGGAAATTGAGGAATATGTAGAGAATACTCTTGACAATTTGTCACGTGGTGCTATGAGCATAGATAAGAAAGTAGCATCTTTATGTAAAAAGGATATATTTCCAGAAGACGAAAAGATGTCAGCTATCGTATCAAATAATGAACTTGGACAAGTGGATGTGCTAAAAGAACTTGAGAATATAAGAAATGCTCCCGGTTTTAGGAGGATGATATCTGACTTGGAAAAGTGGAGTACTGAGAAAATAGATATTCACATGTTGGGCGTGGATCTGAACAGTCAACCGGTACCTAAGATGAGGAATAGTCGACAAAATACTGCTGGTTAGTAGAAATAGTGGAAATTGGATGATGTGTGTAATTATTCATATATGGCTGATTATTCTTGCTTAATATGTTTAGGATGGAAGTGTGCGAATTGTCTGACTTCTGTTACTCCTGGGTGGAGAGCCGGTGAGACTCCAGAGCAGAAGTTATGTAATGGTAGGTTATCGGGGTGATGGTGAACGGTCGATAGTAAGAGTTTTCATGGTTTAGTTAATTTAACTATGGGCCAGCTCGATACCCATATGGCTACGTTTTAATTCACTCTTAACACATTACTTTCGAATTTCATTGTTTGTCATCCTATTTTAGCATGTGGTCTGTATTATGCAAAGAATAAGTCTCATAGACCAGCCAATCTATGGCAGAACCAAGTTGGTGCAATCACTCAGAAGGATCATTGATGTTATTTGTAAATAGACATTAGATGTTATCATGAATTGTTGTCTTCACGACAAGTGTATGGATATTAGGCATTCTTAGCCGTTGGTGGGATGTTGTATAAAAAGTTGCAAAATTTTCTGAGTTTCTCTTGCTGTACTGTTTGTCATTCCAGTTGCTGTAATAAATTTGTAATATAGTGATTTCATATGGGGGTGCTGCAACAAAACCAAGTGAACGTTTGGTTACTGAACTCAAAATGGCTGGTGTAGTTGTAAACTGATGATGTTTTGAAACACTTGACACAGCAGCAATAATAATAATAATAATAATAATATACTAATACTAGTGCTTGTAGGACTATTATTCCTATTATTATTATTCTTATGTCAGAATGTAACTAACATTAGTATTAGTATTAGATACTGTATAGAGTGACTGAATATGAAGTTGAATAACACGATTAATATAGAATTATGTCTACATGAAGGCACCCGCACAGTCAGAAGTATTCTTAAAAAAAACGTGGTGAGAAAATTACTCCGTAAACCCTCAGGAATATCAAGATAAAGAAAAAACCACTTACAAATTTATCAAAACAACAAAAGTTATAATCAACAATAAACACTAAAAACTTGAAGAATATAAAGCAAAAGGTATAGCCGCTTTTTTTATTGTTGTTGTTTAATATTAATATAATAATAAATAGTCAATAATAATAATAATAATATCACAGTTTAAGTAATACTAATACTAAGCCAACTCAACTTCAGTCACATGAAGGCAATCAATAATGGATTATTACATTATTCTCATTGTAAGCAGTCTTCTTAGAAACGTTGGTTTTTTCATGATAAATTGGCTAAAAATATAGTATTCAGCTGTCGATTGAACGTTATATTAATAATTGCTACAGTCATCTATTACTATCAATATTATACTACACCTAATATGCTTTATCGCCCCTCCCTCCTTCACTTAGACACTTGGGGCATGCTGCAACAAAACCAGACAAAGTGAACATTCTGTTTTGTGAGGCTGATTATGATGTGGCTGTAAAATTGACCAGTGTGACTGATGACATTTGAAAAGTAATAATGTGCTCATGGCTTATTAATTTTAATGCTCCCATTATCATACCAGAAGGTGATGAATATCAACCATAACAGGAGTAATATAGGATTATCCCTATATATATATAAAAATAAAATATATAAAACTAATTTACATTAAGTCCACTATGGAACCCAAGAATTACAGCACTATTCGAAGCATTCTAAAAAAAGCTCAAGGAGAAAAAATTGCGCCTTATGTTTTTTAAAATCAATGATACCAAAATTCTCGAGGAATATCTAGATCAAGAAAAAATTACCTATGAAATTTATCAAGAGGTAAGGAAAATCATAACTAATAAACGAGCATTAACATCAACACATGATAAACTGAGAAAAAACGAAAACTTGAAGACAGATAAAGAAAAAAGCTTAACGTTTTTCTGTTGGTAAAACAACGTTCAAGTGCATTTGTTGAACTTTTATTTGCGTTTCATTACTTTTGTACAATTGCCAACCAAAGAGCAAAATTACATAACGACAATTCAATTTGTAGACATAATTTTATTATCTTTATAGAAGCTGATTGCTTTTGAGTAATACTAAATGCACCAGAGTGATTGCATGGGAGGAAAATACTCGGACCCAAAGCCATTTATGAGTATAACCTATTC